TACCTCTCACAAGGAGAACAAGTCACCTCTGAAACACAGACTTCAGGGGAACAGACCTTACTGGCATAGTAGCTTCTATCTGAGGAATTATTTTCTTTTCCAGTGCACTTCAGAACTCTCTGATTGTGGAGAATCAAACAATTTTCAGAAGGATCTATTGACTCTTTGTCTAGTTCTTTTTCTGTGAATCTAAGATGATTTGTGGTTGACTCCACTAAAATGTTCACAGCAGCCTTCAGGTCATCAGCTTCCTCTGTGATGGCAATATGCTTTAGAACCTCCAACAAGGCAAGTATTTCTGAAGTTCTGTTGGTAATCTTGTGAGGACCACCTGGACAGAAGTTATTTATATTTCCCTTTAGGTTTAACACCAGGAGCCAAGCTAAAAGGACATTAGTGGATAAATTACATATTGTGGAAGGGAAGGGAACATCTGCAAGTGAGGCTGGCATTTGAACAATTTCATTCTGTGCCCTGTGAATACTAGGAACTAAACTTTGTAGTTGATGAAGCAACAGGACTGATAAGAGGTCTTTTGGAGTGTCTCCTTCCAAAGGATCTACCTGAATGGCAACCTCTACACTTTGCCCTGTTGTAGCTAAGTTTGTTTCTTGGTAAATAAGACTTAGCTCTGGTACTGACTTTTCAGCAGATACCTTACTTTTAGTAATGTGATCACCAATCACTGACTGTGATAAGCTACAATATTCATGCAAGGAAAGCAAGTAAGCATCATTCAGAGTTTTAATATGGCTGTCATAGAGATCTTTGGAAAGTTCTTCCCTGTTATCTTTGTTAAAAGATTTACTTACCCCTTTGCTTAGATTATCTCCTGACAAACTGTCATTTTTAGCTATGTGCTTATCACTTTCCAAAGCAAACTTACTTCCCTTCCCAGAATATGCATGGAAATTGTTTCCTAGAAAACCATTGTTAAAATTTACCACATTCCTTTCCTTTTTGTATACTGGAACTGATTTCCTAGGCTGGGCTGCTGAATGTGGCTTTATGATCGGCAACCATCTCTGTTTATAATTTTGAACTGAATGATGGGTAACATCAGGGTTAACAGCTGTCTTCAAAGAAGTTAAAGAATTTACCTTGATTGTAGCATGTTGTTTACTTATAATTGTACCTGATTTCAACTTTCCTCCTTTGTTTTTTTTCTGACTTTTCAAAGTTCCTTGGGAGTTAACTTTGGAATCTAAATTCTTCTCTGTTATTCCTCTCAAATACCAAGAGGTCGTTCCTGTATGATCCATTGGTCCATAAAAAGCATTTAATTTTTTTTCAAGAATATTAAACATAGGAAATGAATTTTTATTTCCCAAAGTATTCCTGCAATATTTAAATGCATTATAGGGAAATACTTTGTCTCCTTGATCAATTTCTATTTTTGTAGGTCCTCCTAATAAATCTACTTTGTTTAGTGGTCTGGATTTTCTTTTGGTTAAGAGTCCTTGAAGCTTGGGATTTGGAGTAGTACTTAATTTGTTTTTATGGAAATTCCTGGCATTCATAGAACTGAGTTTACTGTGGGAACCAAAATAATTTGATTCAAATACCATTTCACTTGCATGGAGGTCTTGCTCATAAAGCATCCCTCCTTTAAGAGGACTATCTGTAACTTGCAATATAGTTTCCTCTGTAATACTACATCCTTTGCTTATTCTCTCACTTTTACTGGGGAATCCTGTGCTTACAGTGTCCCTGTCTAGACAACAAGAATTTATCATTTGCTGCTGGAATTTCTTTTTCTTTTTGCTGAAAACAGATGATGAAATCTGCTTTTTATATTCTGGAATTTTTGTTAAACCACCTTCATTAATTAATCTGTCAATTCTTGAAGTGACAGCAGACAATCCTGCTGCAACTGGAGTCTCAGAGATAATTTTGTCAGTGCTAGAGTTATTATCTGAAGGCTGAGTTGTATCTGCTAAAATAAGACTGAACCTATCATCGGTATTACCATAACTATTGAAGTTCTTGATTCTAGGCTGTGTCTCTGATATTTCACTATCAACTACACCTTCCTCCAGTGCTGACTTTTCTGATATAGTCTGTGCCAAATCATTATTATGGGGTATCTCTAACATCTTCTGCCTTGTAATTTCTACAACGCCAGCGCATGTCGTGCTTGACTTGAGCAGTCTACTTTCCTTTTTTCTTTCTACAGCTGACTCCATCTGCTCATTGTTATTGATCTGAACAAGTACTGGTTTGTTAGATACTGATGACACTTTACTGCAAGAATGGGTGAACATGTGATATTCAGATTTGTTTTCCCTATCTTCCTGTCTAACCATTTTCTCTTGAATTTCAGTTTCAGATACTAAAGTCACACTCCCTATGACCGACTTCTTTGGTCTCACTCTCCTAGGTCCAGGTGTAGGAGGCCTATAAAAGTGACGCTTCTCTTGACCCTGAGTTTCCTGAATGGCATTTGTGTCTACAGAAGCATTCTCCCAACTAGTAGAACAAGTTTCAACCTCTTGACCTGTTTTTGCAGTGTTTATCTCCTCTGCCAAACTGCCCTCTTGATTATTGCCTTTCTCCAGAGGTGAGACAACTGCAGACAATGAGCAAGCTGCAATCTCTGTACCAGATGATGCATCATCTGCTGTTCCTGGAAAACTGCTTATCTTACTCTTCTCATCGCTATTAGAAAGATCAGCTCTACTGACAGTGGTTGTCCACTTTATGGTTTCTTCCTCTTTTATCTTAAATCGAACTTTCATCTCAACTGTCATAGTGCCATCTTGATTAAAAACAATTGATTTCTCAATATCATCTTTAAAAGGACAGATTAATAAATTCTGAGAATCATTTTTTTCTAAGGCCAAGTAATTATCAGAAGCAAAAGACTGATCTGAATAGCCATCACTATTATCCATTTTGTTAGATGAAACACAGTAAATCTGGGACCTTGAACTTGAAGGCATATGTGTATTAACTTTCAAATTTTAAGAGTAAAAGATACCCCGCATAAAACAAAATGTGGGAAAAAATTATAAATATCCAATGGAAGAGGCAGCAGAGAAAGAAAAGAAAAAATAATGAATTAGTAAATTCATTTTCTAAATTTCATAGTAAGATATTATTGATTCTCACCTTTGTGGATTCACTAGCTGAGTTCAATGCTTTATCTGATACATTTCTACAAACTACTCTTAAAAAGGCAACTTATATCTCCTTTAATAATATGAAATGGACAATTTTAATAACAAAAGTATAAATTAGAAATTGCTAAGGAATCTAGTAAAAATACAGAGATTTTTGTGATGTTTCAATTTATTTCCTCTGTCTACTACTACTAAGCTAAAACTGAAATCAAACCAGGTGTTGCATACATATTCAGACAAAGCAAGTAGTAATGCATGGTGGTATTCATTTTTCTATTATCGTGAATATCCAAAAAAGAATCTATATAATATTATGAGTGCTCAAACACCTTTACTATTCACTTTAAAAGCTTAACTAATTAATTAATAATTATCATCCCTTATTTTGTATAATTAATGCACTTGATTTAATATAAAGCAGTAAAATGAACAGGGCTAGAAAGGCCCAAATATCTACTTATCTTTCTAATGTGTCTCCAGATATAGCTTTGACACTCATGCTTTTCAAATTCACTTAAATTCCTACTAGTAATTTTACATAGACTTGCACATGCTTACCATCAATTAAATACCTTTACCTTTTCAATGTATAAACCTAAAAATATTTTCTCTTTTTGCTTTACTTTCATAAAAACTATAAATGAAAATATCTCACTCATAATTTTTTTAACTCATAATGTTTTTAAGTTAAAATTTACAAAGCCCTCAGGTTCCCTAAAGTCATCACAAATCATATGCAGCACCCTGCATCAGAAACAAAATCATTTTGGTAAAATAATCAAGATGAAACTGTACTATCATAAACAAAACATATATTTGGCAGCTAATGCCTACAAAATTGAAAAAATAATTATCTGAAGTATATCCATGAAATAACTAAATAACAACAAAAAATAATAGATGAATTTCATCCATTTTACCAGTAAGTAATGGGATTAATATTACTTAAAATGCTATAGTTTATATTACTTAAAATGTCTCAATAGAATAAAAACTAAAGTTTAAATACAAGTGCCAATCAATACATTAGCACAGAGTTTACACACTGACCACAATGAATAAGTTTATCAGGGAATGTACACCCAACCATACTATACTGAGCTTCTTAGAGGTCTCCTTCTGCCCTACCCAAAGACAATGCCCTCCCATGCAGCACTTCCTAATAATGATCTGGATTGTTATTAACCAGCATGAATTGACTACAAGAACCCTTTTTCTGTTGTTTTTTAATAAATAAAGGTAGATCTAAGGACCTATGATTTCTACTGAAATAATTTCAAAAACCAGAGCATGTTTGTACTTAGACATTTTTAAAAATGCAATCACTCAACTAACCTGCTAAACTCTCTTGTAATATACTCCATGGTACTATTCAGGAAAAAACCTATACCTACCAAAGATGGCACTTACACACATTCCATATAACTTCTCTCCAAATCAAGAAATGCTAACATTTTGATTTTTTAACTAGATATATCCCCCACAAAAAAAAAAAAAATCATCAATTTAAATAGCTATGTCATGTGGCAACATACAGCTGAAGAGTTGTGAAACTATTCCCCTAAAATAGATACAATATTGTAAACCAATATTACCACAATAAAAAAATAAATTACAAAAACCAGGTACAACACTGATTGATTTGGAAATCCCTAAAAAATATATCAAAAAATCTCTGACTCCTTATACAATAAAAAAAAACTAATTTCAGTTTAACTGGTTTTAATCCCCTTATTTTCTCTCTATGATGAAAGAACTTAGTGATTTGAATCAATATCATGTAATCATTTAACATGGCTGCGGTACTGGTCAAAGAATCTCAGAATTAAAATAAATATATAAGTAAATTGAGGCTATATATTTATTTAGGTGACTTACTCTTTATGTTTTCTGATCTAGCAATTCCTTTGGGGCACACACGATGAGAGATCCCTGGTAATCTAGCAGGAAGCAAGTACTTTTGGATGTCATAATTCCCTGGTTTAAATGGTTCCCTTCCTGCTGCTACCACAGCTCCAGAGCTCAGGATCACTGCCTGGAGACTAGGAACCTAGAAGAAACAAAAGAGCACATAGGACTATGGTGATGGCACATGGTTAAGTGGTGGGAAGTCCCAGGGGTTACAACTGAGATGAAAAAATGCACAAAATTAAGACTAATGTAATATATATATATATATATATATATATATAATTTAATTAATAAATAAATAAAAGTAAATATGTAAAAAGAACAAAAAGCACTAAACACTAGTTTAGTTCTTTACACTAGTTTAGTTCTTTCCATATGTAATTTTGTAATGACTGAATTTAACAACCTCCCAGGCCTGAAAATTATTATCACCAAGCCATTGATTACTGAAAATGCCAAAGGTAGGGAGATTGGGGGAGAAGTGTACAAGGAAAGCATGTTGATGGACTGGTTAAAAACAACATCCTTATTGACCTTATTCAGCCTGCCTACTAGCTAAAGAAATCTGTCTACTGTTAACCAAAGAAAATGCAGTACTTCCCTGTACTTTCCTCACAAAAGTATACAGTTGTAGCCAAATGTCTACCTGGGGCCAGCTAAAAAAGAACCTGGAAGACAGGGCAGGGCCAAAAAGGTTAGCTCTTGTAGCAACACTATCAATAGCAGGGGAAGTTCCTGCGACATGCTTTTTGCAGGGATCCTAAGAAAGTGATTTCTATACCTAATTAAATATCACTGTTGGCTATTCCTTTGCAAGAAATGTCATCAATATAGGATTAGATTTTGTGCTTAGAAACAGGAGAAAATTAGGGAGTATGTGGAGGAAAAAAAAAAGGTGGGGGGGGGAATATCCTGATTGTGGCCAAAGCCTGGTCCACTTCAGACCCTCCACCCAAAAGGAGCATAGAAAACCACACAGAAAAGCTCACACATACACACTTACACACACACACGGCCTTCCTTCCCTGGGGTTAGCTCCACTGAACTCAGAGGAGAGGAGCCTCAGGGCGCTCACCTTTCTTCCATCTGTGGTGTACAGTTTATTCACGGGGCACTGCAGGACTTCTGTCAGGTGCTGCAGAAAAGCCTCAAAAGTCTGGGTGACCCTCCTGCTGAGAAGGACCACACGCCTAGTCTTGGGGTCTCCATTCCGGAAGACCACAAGCCTCCTCGCAGCGCGCAGCATGCCGGGAGCTGCCATGGCAGCAGCAGCCTGGGAGCGGTGAGCATGCGCAGTGATGGCCCGACTGCTGAGCCAAGGCGGTGGACGCCTGCGAACCTTTTCCAAATCCAACGGCTGAATCTTCTTGCCGTGGGAGCACAAGTATGATTCTCCATCTTCCAGCTCTTCCAGGCTTGTGATGATGTGCCTTCCCCGAGGGGTGCTGATATTCCTTACCCCGAAAGGTAGAGGCACCTTCCTTGACAAGTTATCCAGCAGAGCATCAAATGACTTACACGAACGAGGATTGATTACCACCCTAACCCCGCCAAATTGCTGGTCTCCGCTCTTGTAAAAGCTGATCCGTTTGGCCACAACAGGATGAGTGAGGCTCAAATGGCGCTGGGAAGACACTTGACCTTCAGAAGAAGTGGGATGAATCATGGAAAAACTAAGAGGAGTTTCACTCATTTTTGCTGAGACCTAGAGAAGGAAGGAAATTATTCTTCTTCGGAATAATAACACTGTAAAGAAAACATGATAATGCTAATGTGCGCTAATTATAATTGTAAAAATGAGGCCATCCCTCAAATTTTATTCTTTAATTTATTCATTCATTCATTATACCTGTCTATTTTGAAAGATAATTTTAAGGAACTTACAATTAAAAAGATAGTTAAATAAGATATTTAAAATTTAAACATAAAAATAACCTAAGTGCATTACCTAAGGGATAGTTTTTTGTTTTGTTTCGTTTTTTAAGTATTATTCACATCCATGCAGTAGAACGATATGCAACCGCTGAACCCAATTGGCTCTGTAGTTCTGAATTTATTAGCATCAAAAAATGATTAGTATGTCCTATTACTAAGGAAACAAATTGTAAAATACATATGTTATGCCGCTGATTTATATGGATACATATATGTTATACTAACAGAGAAAAGTTAAGTATATACCATACAATGTTATTCGTGGCTATCTGGATAGCAGAGTTGTAGACAGTATTTCTGGTTTTTTTTTTTTTTTTACATTGCTAATTCTGTGACTTTAATAAGTATTATTGAAGAATTGAAAAAATAATAATGTAAAAGACCCAAATCAGAAACCATGTAATGAGAGTATAGGAGAGTTTTGCAATTGGTGATTTAGTTCTGCATGTTCTGGCATTCAAGGAAAATGCAAAAAAAGTACAAAGTTCAAATTGTCCATTGGATGAAACCAAATTAGTTCACTTGGAGGTAAACTTTTTTTCTGACATTAAGTTCTAAGAAGAATGCATCACATAGATCCTATTAAATATATGTATGTTTCCATTACAAATTATACAAAATACAAATTAGTTATCTAACTCACTAATCCTACCTTAGGAAAAACAACTTTTTTTTTTCTTTAATGAATGAGTACATTAGTCTACCCTGCTGAAAATGGTGCGATCTGAGTGTTGCCCCCAGAGTGGTTTTAAAATGAAAACTTTAGGAATTCCAGGGCTATTTAAGCTCTTGAATTGAAGTTTTCTGCTTCCACTTCCAAGTGAAACTAGTATCTGTGAAGTGAGCAGCTTATCTAGTTCTAGGCTTGTTTTCCATGGATAGATAGCTTATTGTGACTATTTTCTGTAGCTTTAAGTCTGTGTAATTATTAGTGTCTTTTAACTGAGTAAGAATGCCCTGCAGCCTTGAAGACCATTTGAGCAAACTAAATAAATGTGATCAATATTACAAAGATAAAAAAGGCATGTTTGTCATTATAAATCAACTAATCACTTAAATATTTGCAAGTTGCTAATTAGCATTCTTCATATATCTCCACTATGAGTTGTAAATCTTATTTATAGATAACTTAGGAAAATGCACTAAAAGATCAACTTGAATTTGTCTCCCCTTCTCCCTCCCCAAGTGTTGTTTTTTTTTAAGCTGGGGTGTAGGCCAAGGGGAGGGGAGGAGGGCAGGAAGGGGGAGAGGATTCATCAGCCACAGAGTGGGCTCCAACTTGTGCTGCAATGGCTGCAGTTAATTTCATAGTGCTGAGGTTTCACCCCTTCAGCCACCAGGGAGGTCCCCCCAAGTGGTTTAAAGTAATTACAGTACTTAAGACAATAAAGGCAGCTGTGGTAGGCATGTGCATCATGATTTGGGGGATCATCTTTGCAATGGAGTCAGCAAAACTGCAATCTTTTCTCATCCTTGACTTGATAAACTTTGGTCTAACTTTAGAAAAGCTTCTTAATCTCCTATGTCCTCATCAGCTATAGAAATGACTTCCTTTGGTATTTAAATAAGGAACTTTAGAATTATATTTTAGGTTGATTTATTTACACGTTTATTTGAAGATATTTTACCTGAATAGTGTTTAAGATACATTTTTCACCTAATTTTGAAAAATTACACTTATCTATATAAGTGCATAATGACACTTTTAATTTTAATAATTTTCTGATTGGATCTCACTATTTGAAAAGGAGGTGACAACCTGGTTATCACATAGGGATCACAGTTATGTGAGCTAATGTGCTAAGTGTTTTGTTTTGGAGAATTGGAAAGGATGTTGTCCTGAATAAGGAGGTTTTGTACTAAGACCATGAGAGAGATCATGGGGGTAAAAAGATAGTTGAAGAGAAGTGTCACCCCCTGTCTCTATTTCACTGGTCCTTGGCCCCGTATACTGTTTTTGAGCCTAGTGCATAAAGGGACCAAGCTGAAGTAGCCATAATGTGGGTAGGTGACAGCAACGTAGCAATGGTGAAACATTTGCAATGAAAGTACATGTAACAGCAAAACAAAATAAAAACTTGAGTGCCTGTTTTCCTCACTGCATGTAAGACAATCTGTAGGAACATCTAGAGACATGGGGAATTTTAGAGACGATGAGATTTTGCTTACATGCAGGTATGGTTTAGTAACCAATGGGAGGGTGGTCCTTCTGTGTATATCATGATGGAAGTTTAGTAATATCATTGATTAAAACACTATTGATTGTGTGGCCCTCCCTGGAGGTGCAGTGGGTTAAAGCACAACACTAAGAAGCTAAAGCCACTTCAGCATGAGTTCAATCCCTGCCCCGGAGGTGACCCACATGGCGTGGCAGACCTCTCCTGACCCGCCCACTGTACTTCATTGATCAGCCTGTTCTGCTCCCTACTCTGTTTCTGGTGAATACTCTCACCACTCCTCCACCTCTGGCCTGTATGCCAGCTCTATATGCATAAAATAAATAAATCTTAAAAACACGATTGTGCATACAGAATACAATATCATCACTGGGAAAGAGAGTGCAAATCAGAATCTTCCAGGGGAATGAATCAGCCTTTTTCTTGGCATTATCATGTTCTACTGCATCCAAGGGGAATCATGGAGTAATTAAATATCAACATCCATTAAGGAAAAGTCTGAATATCAAAGAGAAAAGATGGGAATAACAAAGAGAGATGTGTAATCCAGCCAGAAGGAGTGGGGCCGAGGGTGGGGAAAGATGATAGTTTCTATAGTAAATCCTGTGTACATCTGAGACACAAGAGGCACAGAGCAGTAGAAATACTACCAGAGGAAAGGCAGAGATTCTTACAGCACTAACCAGTGCACATGATTAAGGCCAGCAACATGGTCAGTAGTCTTGATCATAGAAGCTACCAGCCCTCCACAACCTTTAGTTATCCAGCATTAATTGTGTCCCTTTCTGATTCAGCTTTAAAGACTAATCAGAACAAGGATGAAAACCAAGCAAAGTTTCTTTACAAAAATTTTAAATAATAAGGTTTATTTTACTCCCTCTGGAGTTGGGGTAATACTGTAATATGCTTAGAAGGCTTTCAAGAAACAAAGTAACATAAAGTGGTCTAATTCTACTTTGTGAATGTGAGACTAAAGGGAAAGGAAGGCGCTAAAAGGTACAAAGGAAGTAGAATCTTAAAATCTGTCACTTCCTTAGAAATAGAATGGAAAGCTCTCGCCCAACAAGCCAAACTATCGATATATTGAAATCATCTTAAAATGACTTGTTTCCCAAATCTTCCCCTGTTCTCTGAAGTCTCTTCATTTCTTAAAGTCAGTCCATGGAATTATCATGAATACTGCTGTTGCTTTTTAAGAGTAAGCATAGTTTTGACACTCCTTCCTTTACTGGTTCAGTCGTGGTTGTGCTTACCTGCATCATCACTGGTCACAATTAACACTGTATGTAAGTATGTAAGTCTGTGCTGCTCAGAATGAAATACTTGTTTCTATCCACCACTCATATGACAAAAACAGATAACAGATTGACAAGATGCATGCACACAATTTCACTAGTTAATTTTAATGTTCCACCACATAGTATGAATTCAGGCAATTGATAAAGAAGAATGAAGTAGAAAACAAAATGGGAAATTAGTATGTTCAGAACATTAATTCAAAGATTCAGTGTTGCAAGAAAAAATAGTTCCTTTCATAGGTTATCATAATTTATGTAGTGGGTTGGGGATTCAGAAAGGAAATGTAATTATGCCTATGGTAGCCATAGTATTGTTGAATTATAAACAGCTTCTGTCTGTAATCCACAGATTATTCTAATGAATAGTGCTTTTATAATTATAAAAATAAACTTTACTCATATTTGAATACAGTAGAACTTCTTGATTTTGTGATATGTAGTTCCCTCTACCCTCTAGATATGCATATTGCGAAGGCTTCTGACACATTTGGGTAAATAACAATAACTATTAGAAGTATTTGTTCTTTTGTAATGGTTAAAGATAGATCACAAATCTAGACATACATACATATATATATATTCACATATATATAAAACAGAAAATAAAACACAACTAAATAAATATGGATTATCTTCAGAGTAAAAGATTTCAAATAGTTTGTACTTACCAGAACTTGAAACTTCCCTTATTAAAAAAAAAAAATTGCATACTTTAAGTTGTTTGAATAATTCACATAAATGTTGCTGGGTATGTAACCTGCTCACTCTGAGCAAACATACTGATGCCTTTGGACTTATTCTTAGTGTAGCCACTCAGGGGTGGGGACAGCCAATTAATTTAATCCAAACTGATGATAATCCCCAGACAGAATTCACCTTCAGGGACCACAGCCAGAAACAAGTCAGTTTGAGCCTATTCCACATATCTAAAATGTCCCTAATTAGTACTTACATTGTATCAGTCTCAGGAAAAATATACTTTGCCAATTCATACACATTTCTCTCCCAAATAGTCTTAGATCCCCATTTATTTAAACAGAAGATGTTATTGTAGAGCTAAAGATGAATTGGTTTGACATTTTATCATTTTTTGATAACTAGTTTTGGGTCAATATTTGCTCCTGGTAATCATTAAAATAGAAAGATCCTGAGCCTTCTTATTTTTAATTTAAGCACTCCTGATTATTATCACATCACTATAGTTCTAATGTAAATTGCTATAAATGTAAATAATTTGGCCTCTCAGCATAAGACAAGGCAAGTAAAGAGGTGCCACACTGCAA